GGTTATGTGCCGTGGAGTCGGTTCCCACTCATAGCGACACTGCACAGGGTTTCTGAGGCTGTAAATCTTTACAGGAGCAGAAAGCCTCATCTTTCTCCCGTGGAACAGCTGATAGTTTTGAACTGCTGACCTCAAGGTTCACAACCCGATTCGTAACCACTACGCTACCAGAGCTCCTTTCAGCCTTCATATAGTACTAATGAATGGAAGCTTGTGCGACTACTTTCACACAGTGTTTGATAAAGTATATAGTAAAGTTGTTTTTGTATACGTAATATGGCTTATTGCTACTCTTAGATAGATCTCAAAAGATGTACGCAATAATATTGATAGCAGCATGATTTGTAATAATTCTAAACAAGAAATAATTCAAATATTCATTGACAGTAATTGAATGAAAACTTGTGATACTTTCCCATATGGAATATTTAACAGAAAGGACAATGACAAAATTACATCAACATTTAACATCATGATGATATTTATAAACATGATGCTAAGCAAAGGAAGCCAGTCTCAAGAGAGGACATTCAGTGTCATTCCATTTGTGTGAAGTTCAAAACGAGGCAAAACAAATCCATGGAGATTGGTATCACAATAGCAGTTACCTCTGGAAAGGAGGGAAAGAGTTAGAGGACTCCTGAGTAGCAATTAACACCCTTTTTTCTCATTTGGGTGGTTTTACTTTGTGAAAAGTCATCTTGCTGTATACTTATGATTAGTGTACTTTTTAAATGTATGTTGCACTTTTATACAAAAAACTGTTATATGAGAAATCAGTGGAAGAATAGTGAGCTTTATGCATGAAGCATCAGTTAAGTCATTCTGCTATAAGGAATGTGTTGTTTGGAAATACTGGCCTCACCAGTGAAATAATTGACTAAAAGGCTGGACAAATTAGTCATTACAATAAATATCTGAAAACAGCCAAAATGTTCGCCCCTAATGGCAGCCTAAGTAAATCATGATTCATTCGCAAAGTGGACAATTATGCAGCCATTAAAAGATGGTGGCTCTGAAGAGCTTCACACAGAAAATATTAAGTGAGAAAAGTTGATTATATGGTATGATGGCTAAGGTATGACATGTCAAAACTGCATGTAAAAAAACTATACCGTCATTTCACCAGACGTTATCTATCTTTGGTGACTCATTCATACATCTACTTTTTGTATTTCAAATGAGATAAAATGCATTTTAAATGGATAATTTTATTAATGTAAGAGTTCAAATTACTGATTATAAGTGGAATTAAAGAATATTTCTTTTCTTGATTACAATTTGTTAAGAAATTAAAATTATCATACAAAGTAAGTATTATATGGAATATTCTAGTGCTATAGAAAAGGGAATACTGAATGGTTTAAAATCTGGAAAGTTGTGCACTAATTTGTATGCTGAGCATATAATCCGAGAAACGGGATTGTATGAAGAAGAATGTGGCATCAGGATAAGAGGAGGACTTATTAACAACCTGTGATATGCAGATGAAACAATCTTGCTTGCTGAAAGTGAAGAGGACTTACAAAGACTACTGCCTTCAGTATGGATTGCAACTCAACATAAAGAAAACAAAAAGTCTCACAACTGGAGCAATAAATAACTTCATGACAAATGGAGAAAAGATTGAAGTTATCAAAGACTTCATTTTACTTGGATCCACAATCAATGCTCATGAAAGCAATTGTCAAGAAATCAAATGTTGTATTTATTGTATTAGGCAAATCTGTTGCACAAGATATCTTTAAAGTGTTCAAGAGCAAAGCTGTCAGTTTGAAGACTAAGGTGCACCTGACCCAAGCCATGGTATTTTCAGAGCTTCATATGCGTGTGAAAGTTAGACAGTGGGTAAGGAAGACTGCAGAAGAATTGATGCATTTGAACTATACTGCTATCTAAGAGTATTGAGGATACCATGGACTGCCAGAAGAACAAACAAATCAGTGTCGGAAAAAGTACATCTAGAATATTCCTTACAAGCTAGGATGGCAAGACTTTGTCCTGTTATATTGTGGACATTTTTATCAGGAGGAACGAGTCCTTGGAGAAGGACATCAAGCTTGGTAAAGTGAAGAGTCAGTAAAAACGAGGAAGACCCCAGGGAGATGAATTAACACAGTGCAGCAATGGTCTCAAGTGTAGCAACTAGCACGGCACAGGACTGGCAGTATTTTGTTCTGTTGTGCATAGTGTCGCCATGAATAGGAATTGACTTGTCGGCTACTAACAACAAATAGTTCTAGAGTTTATAATGCTTCAAATCATAATAAATAATTATCCATGAAACTAGTTATAGATTTTTAAATGACTATTAAGAGTATTTTAAATAAACAATAAGGAGCTCTGGTAGTGTAGTGGTTACGAATCGGGCTGCGAACTGCAAGGTCAGCAGTTCAAAACTACCAGCTGTTCAGCGGGAGAAAGATGAGGCTTTCTGCTCCCGCAAAGATTACAGCCTTGGAAACCCTGTACAGGGTCGCTATGAGTCCGGAACCAACTCCATGGCACATAACAACAACAACAACATTAATAGTGTTTTAAATAAACAACATTATGTACTTTATACAGTTACTTCCCATGCCATCTCGTTTAATATTCCTTTGAAATAGGTATTAATTTCACCACCTTTAAAAATAAAAACAACACAAAACAAAAAAAACAGGATTAGAAGCTAGAGAGGTAAACCAACTTGACAGCTTGGATTAACACTGAGCTGGAACATGAGATCATCAGATGCTAGGGCTTATGTAACATGCACATAAAGTTCCTGAGGCATAAATGACACTAGGGAAGTTTCCAGATTAAATTGGCACCTTATGGTCAATGTAAGAGAGCTTTCCATGTGTTTGTGCCAACAGTGTATCTTCTTTTTATTTTCTTTCCCAGGTTTGGAAGGTGGTATTGTTCTATAGTAATGACATGGATTCCCTTTCTCTTCCTAAGTTACATCCCCCTATGTTAGAGGGCTTCTTCATTTTTGGGAGTTGTTTTTGGTGGCAAAGTTTTAATGACTGAAGTCCATTGCCTTCATTTGTATTACTGTGGTATGCACTGTTCATATATTGAGCCTATCTCAAACATGGTGCTGATGAAACTATCTCCAAAAGGTTTTGTGTATAACAGTAAGCACGTCCAAAAGGCACCAGGTCCATTGCTGGGTCCTTTCAGCTGGAATCCCATGGGTGTAAATTTTAATTCTGATGCTGGAAATTAAAATGGATTAAACTCTCAAAATAGTATTTTGATTTAGATGGTCATTTGAATGTGCTTTGATCAAAAGTAAAGATGGAGGTTGGAGTATTGACTCTTCACTTAAACTTAAAAATAATTGCTACTTGTTTTCATTTCATTGCTTAAAGCCAATGAATGCATGGCTGGTGAAGTGTTTTTAAGACCTAAATTTTAAGTAGTTTCAAAATCAGTTTCTGAACATGCTACTCTCAGTTTTGCATTACTATTCTAATTTGATTATGGCCATAGACTTGCTTACTATTCATGGTGAAGCAAGCTACAATACTTGATCATTTTTTCTTTTTAAAGTGATTGCTCTTGTGCGAGTCTTTTAAAGCTCATCCACATCATTGTATTTTGTAACTGATGAAGTGAGTTTGTTCTTATGTGTACTATGTTTTGTTTTGTTTTCCTAACAGAAAGCTACAAAATCAAGGTCTAAATCTTATAGTACAGATGATGAGGAGGATGCACAGCAGAATCCTGGCAAGGAGAGTTGCCAGCTGTACAGGTAAGAAAGATTCACATTCTCTGCCCAGACTCCTGAGGCCTCTCTCTTGGTTGTTTTGGTTGTACTTGCTAAGAGATTCAGATCGTATGGTAAATGCTAGATGCAGTAGAACATATGAAGGCCAACTGGACATGGGATGATAATAAATGTAGGGAACTTAATGCTCTGCCTGGAACGTAGTATGCCCTGAGTAAAAGGGTTCTCTAGCAGCTGTCAAGGAGCCCTGGCAGTGCCGTGGTTTAGGCATTGGGCTGCTGACTAAAAGGTCAGTATTTGGAACCCAACACCCATTCCCTGTGAGGAAGATGAGGTGGTCTGCTTCCATTAAGATTTACAGCCTCAGAGACCCTTGGAAGCACTTCTATTCTGCTCTATAGGGTCACTATGAGTTGTAGTCAACTCAGTAGCAGTGAGATAGCAGTTGTTAGATACAAGGTATAGTCAGAGAAGAGGAAAGACCCACCTGAACTAGTGCAGAGGGCTTCCATAGAAGACTAAAGGAGAAACAGACACGAAGCCCACTCATGGGAGAGAGATGAGACTTTCTGCTCCTGCCAAGCTTTCCAGCCTCAGAAACCTCATAGAGGATCCCTGTGCGTTGGAACCGACTCAACATCACTTAACAACAACATGCACATGTTAGGAGCCAAGGATCTGCAAGCAGCTAGATTAATGTTCAGATCCTAATTCCTCTACTCTCCATTTATATATATGTATTTGTGTGTGTGTGTGTTGTGGAGTTGTTAAGTGACATGGAGTTGATTCTGACTCATAGCGACCCTATATAAAGTTTTAAAGGTGGGAAAACTTGGCAGGAGCTGGTGAACTTGAACCCCAGTCTTTGTGGTTTGCAGTGCTTATTGTATGGAGCCACCACGTACACACCATAGACACACACACGTGCGCATGCACACACAATTCTTTTATTAAATGAATGACCCATGAAAGGAGGGATTTATTTTTTGGTCTTTTTCTTTCCCCAACCATCTTATCCTCAATAGGTGCATAGATTCATTAAGTGACTAACTCTATATATCTGTAATTCAGCCAATGGTTTTAGAAATCAGAAGGAAATAAAGACCATAATCAATTTTCCAGATAGTAATAGCAAATAATTTAGGATTAGAGGTTTTTCCATTGTTTTTTTGCCAAGTAGTACAACCATCACCACTATCTAATTTCAGGACATTTTCATCACTTCAGAAGGAGATACCATATCTATTAGCAATCATCCCCTTCCTCCCCAAGTGCCTGGCAACCACTACTAATCTATTTTCTGTCTATGAAGACAAGATTGATGTTGTCAAAGATACCATTTTACTTGGATCCATTGTCAACACGAATGGAAGTGGCAGTTAGGAAATCAAATGACATATTGCATTGGGCAAATCTGCTGCAAAACACTTCTTAAAGTATTCAAGAGCACAGATTTCACTTTGAGGTCTAAGGTGCTCCTGATCCAGTCCATAGTATTTTCAGTCATCTTATATGCATGTGAAAGCTGGGCAGTTGATAAAGAAGGCTGAAAAAGAATCGATGCATTTGAAATGCGGTGTTGGTGAAGAAAATTTAAAGTACCACGGACTGCCAAAAGAGCAAATCAATCTGTCTTGGAAGAAATGCAGGTAGAATGCTCCTTAGAAGCCAGGGTGGAGAGACTTCACTCACGCATTTTGGACATATTATATGGAGGGACCAGTCCTTTGGTAAAGCAGAAGGTCAGGGAGAAAGGGGAAGACTCCCAGTGACAAGAATTAACACAGTGGCAACAGCAATGTGCTTAAATGTAACAATAATTGTGAGGATGGCACTGGACAGGCTTGTTTTTTATTCTGTTAGGCATTGGGTCACTATCGGTTGAAACGAACTCAACAGCACTTAACAACATAGATATTTGTGTCTGGCTTCTTTTACTTAGCAGAATATTGTTGAGCTTCATCAATGTTTTTTTTTGTTTTTTTTATAGATGAATAACATTCATTGTATGAGTAGACTACATTTTATTTACCCATTTATCAATTGTTTTCATTTTTTTGACTCATCGATAATGTGACTAAGAACATTGATACAAGCAGGCTTCACCAAATTGTGTAAAAATTTCTATGTCTTTTTAATTCCTTTTTTTATTAACTTTTGGAAACTTCCTCATGTATATGTTTTTGTACAGATAAGTGTGTTTTATTTTTTACATATACTTAGAAATAAAGGAGCTCTGGTAGCGTAGTGATTACGAGTCAGGCTCCTAACCTCAAGGTCAGCAGTTCGAAACTACCAGCCATTCCCCAGGAGAGTGATGAGGATTTCTGCTCCTATTAAGATTTACAGCCTTGGAAACCCTATACAGGGTCACTATGAGTCAGAACTGACTTCATGGCACATAACCACCACCACCACCTAGAAATAGAGCGGCAGGGTCATAAGGCAACTGTAACTTTTTTATGACCAACCAAACTGTTTTCTGCAGTAATTGCACCATTTTGCATTCCCCAGTAATACATGAAGGTTCCAACTTCTCCACATCTGCATCCACCACTTGTAATTTTCTGTCCTTTTGGGTATAGCCATCCTAGTGAGTGTGAAGTGGTTTTGATTTGTATTTCCCTTATGTTTAATGATGACGAGCACCTTTTCATGTAGAAACTAAATAAAAAATGATTGCTACAAAATCATAGAAACTTTTAAACAGAATTATCAAAATGTGAAGCTACTGATTCTTGGCATATCTTCCATCTAGGTCTATATACTTCTAAATGCAATGTTTCTACCTCTCTACCTGGTGTGGGGCTCTGGATAAAGCACAGGAACGCAAAGTCGGTTTGAACTGCAAGGTTGGTGGTTCAAACTCACCATCAGGGTTGCTATGAGTTAGAACCAAGTCAACAACACTTAAAAACAAGAACACTTCCTCAAAGAATTTTTCATTCTTAGATTTACTCCACAACTGTTCTAGCATCCTTAAGGAACTCAAGTCATGTTCCTTTTCAATGTTCTTTGAGTTTTGGAAACAAAAAGAAGCCAGAAAGAGTAAGATCAGGGCTGCAATGTGGATGGGACAAGGTTTTCGAATGAAATTCTAATAGAACAAATAGCCTTTGCTATCTTGGGAAAATGAACAGGTGCAAATACCCTTGCTGCAACTAGCATGGCCTTTTTCAGTAGTTTTCAATTTTCTTGAAACTTCTTCCTAATAAGCCTCTGTGATTGTTCTGTGTCCTGTGAGAAAGTCAAGATTGTCCCTTTGTAATCCCAGAAAACCTTTGAACTGACCTCACTGCCTTGAATTGAATTGACCCAGGAGATCCCGTCAGAAACCCCTGTTTAGATTGGATTTTTGTTGTTGCTGTTGTTGAAAGCACCTTAAAGAGACTGAGACAAGTGTATGATCGAGAGAACGTGTCTGCAGCCATCTACTGATCACTGAGACATGTTTAATACAAGTTTTCTTTGAAATAAACCAGTGCATGTATGCACTGGAACCCTAGTAGCAATACTTTTTGACTTATCCTAGTATAATAATTGTGATCCAAAGTTGCAATGTTTATACTCTTTTTATAAGAGTAGAAGTTCTTCTTACAAAGGTGGAGTAGTTTCCTGATGAACTTTGATGTTATTCCCAGTTGAGTAACAGTGGAAATCAAAGTCCCCTTGCTGAAATGGAATTCACACATACATGAGAAGAGGCTGTGGTTGTTGAAAGAGCAGTGACTTAAATCACCCATATAAGGATGTTATGGTGGAAAGAGTGCTGAGCTAGGAACCACACTTGGGTTTTAATCCTGTCTCTACCAGGACCTTGCGAAGAAGGTCATTTACTCTTTCTGTCAAGTAAGGTAAAAACCGAAAGTAAAATATCAGTGACTTTTGAGTGTGTACTTCACAGGTTGGGCCGACGAAGAAAAACCATGAAGCTCTGCCGAGAACTCTCCGATCTGGTGGTATATACAAACTCTGTGGCCGCTCAGGACATCGTGGATGATGGTAAGGCCTGAGAGTTTTCTTCTGCTCTGGATAACCATTTGTGATCTTTTTTTGCTGGTTGTTAATTAACAACAACAACAGCAAATCAGATCATCACTAAACATTTCTAGGACTGATTGGAGTGTCAGGAAATGACTGTTCATATGATGCTTTTCTCACCCATTGGGTTCTGTTGGTTACCGTGGCAGCATTATTCATGAGTATTCAGAGAAATCTCCTACAGGGCACAGAAGGGCTTTATTATTAAGAAAACGGTTGTATTAGAGCAAGGTTTTTTCCCCCAAACTTGAAATGTGGAGACTTGTTCTAGCTTTTGACTGTTTTAAGTGTCAATGACCTGAAGAAAGAAAAAATTCATTGGCTGATAAAACACCTTGGACAGCCTCCATATTTTCTCATTGGGAATTTTGACTTTTTTGGACAGTTATTTTTATTTACACATTGAAGTTTTAACAAAATGAGGATAAATTTCAGTAGCATTGACACTTTCGTTATTTTTCATCTATCAATTGTCATATATTAAACTGAGAAATTCTACTTACAACTATTTTCATTGACTTGCCTACTAGTTGTTCTCTCCCCCTTTCTACTCTTCCTTTCTCAATTCTACTGCAGTTAGTTACTGAATGCTTGTAGAAATAAATGATGTTTGTGTGGTTTCTCTTCTAGTTTTAATGACAATAAATCTGCATCACCAATTTTCTCAATTCTTTGTGAAGGGGAAACAACATTGCAGTGTCTTATAGTCCTACAAATGTCTAGAATTCTTCCCTCACTTCTCCCTCCACTCTACTCCTCCACAAGTGTAACTTCTTTACCTGTAGA